GGAATTTATTATGTTTCTTTGTTTCTGCTTTCCCTTCTCTCTCCCTTTCTTTCTTTCTCTCTCTGTCTCTTTCTGTGACTGACTGTTTCACTGTCTATCTCTCTCCCCTTCGCTCTCTCTCTCCCTTTCCTTCTCCCTTTCTCTTTGCCTGAACCCTTTCCCCTTCTCTCTCCCTTTCCCCTTCCTTCTCCCTCCCTCTCGCTTTCTCTCCCCCTCTCTTTCCCTCCTTCTCCCCTTCCCTCTTCCTTTCCTTCCTCCCTTCCCTCTCCCTCCTCCTTCTCTTTCCCTCCTCTCTTCCCTCTCCCTTTCCCCTTTGCCCTTCCCTCTCCCTTTCCCTCTCCCTCCCTCTTCTCTTTCCCTCATCTCTCCCTCCCCCTCCCCTTCCCTCTCTCTTTTCCCTTCCCTCTCCCTCCCCTCCTCTCTTCCTTTTCCCTTCCCTCTCCCTTTTCCCTTCCCTCTCCCTCCCTCTCTCTCTCCCTTTCCCATTCCATGTCCTCTTCCCTCTCCCTCCCTCTTCTCTTTCCCTCCTCTCTCCCTCCCCCTCCTCTCTTTCTCCCTAACACACTCCGCCGTCCCTTCCCTCTCCCTCCTCCTTCTCTTTCCCTCCCCCTCCCCTTCTCTCTCCCTGTCCCTTTCCCTCTCCCTCTCCCTCCTCCCTTCCCTCTCCCTCCCTCATCTCTTTCCCTCCTCCCTCTTTACTAACACACTCCGCCGTCCCTTCCCCTCTCTCACTTACCGAGACCAACTCCCGCGCTTTCTCTGCCACTTGATCTCCTTTTCCCCTCAGATTTAAACCTCCTGTTTCTCAACAACCGCTTCTTTTATGTCACGAATTCCTCTCCCTTTCCGCATTCTTCCTCTTCTCTGCACACGGCTTTTCCCTCTCTTTCCTCCCTTCCTGTATTCCCTGTCTCACTTCTTTATCCATCTCTCTCCCTCTCCCCTTCTTCACTAAGCCTTAATATGCAACTCTTAAGGTCTTCTTTATTCTTTTATGTCACGAATTCCTCTCCCTTTCCGCATTTTTCCTCTTCTCTGCACGCGGCTTTTCCCTCTCTTTCCTCCCTTCCTGTATTCCCTGTCTCACTTCTTTATCCATCTCTCCTTCTTCCCTTCTTTGCTAAGCCTTAATATGCAACTCTTACGGTCTCAAGGTCTTCTTATTGTGGCGAGACGAAACGAGGCGGACAAATGGCCCAAACCGCCCCAGGGTACGAGGGGAAAAGAGGGGGGGAGGGGGGCAAGGAGGGGAGAGGGTGGGGAAGGAGGGGAGAGGTGGGGGAAGGAGAGGAGAGGGGGGGAAGGAGGGGAGAGGGGGAAGAGAGGGAGAAGGGACAGAGGGAGAGAGGGAGAAGGGACAGAGGGAGAGAGGGAGAAGGGACAGAGGGAGAGAGGGAGAAGGGACAGAGGGAGAGAGGGAGAAGGGACAGAGGGAGAGAGGGAGAAGGGACAGAGGGAGAGAGGGAGAAGGGACAGAGGGAGAAAGGGAGAAGGGGGGGAGGGGGGACTGTGGGGAGAAAGTGTGAGGAAAGTTGAGTCTTATGCAGAACAAACAGCCTCAAAATAGGGGCGTATTTGATTTGGGAATTATGGGTGAGGGAGAGGCGAGTGAGGGTGTAAGCGAGGAGGAGAGGGGGGAGGAGAGAGGGAGAAGGGACAGAGGGAGAGAGGAAGAAGGAACAGAGGAAGAGAGGAAGAAGGAACAGAGGAAGAGAGGAAGAAGGAACAGAGGGAGAAAGGGAGAAGGGGGGGAGGGGGGGGGGGTTAGGAAAGGGAGCAGGGGGGGGAGGGGAGGGGAGGGGGGGTTAGGAAAGGGAGAAGGGGGGGGAGGGGGGACTGTGGGGAGAAAGTGTGAGGAAAGTTGAGTCTTATGCAGAACAAACAGCCTCAAAATAGGGGCGTATTTGATTTGGGAATTATGGGTGAGGGAGAGGCGAGTGAGGGTGTAAGCGAGGAGGAGAGGGGGGAGGAGAGAGGGAGAAGGGACAGAGGGAGAGAGGAAGAAGGAACAGAGGGAGAAAGGGAGAAGGGACAGAGGGAGAGAGGGAGAAGGGACAGAGGGAGAGAGGGAGAAGGGACAGAGGGAGAGAGGAAGAAGGAACAGAGGAAGAGAGGAAGAAGGAACAGAGGGAGAGAGGGAGAAGGGACAGAGGGAGAGAGGGAGAAGGGACAGAGGGAGAGAGGAAGAAGGAACAGAGGGAGGGAGGGAGAGAGGGAGAAGGGACAGAGGGAGAAAGGGAGAAGGGAGAGAGGGAGGGAGAGAGAGAGGGAGAGAGGGAGGGAGGGAGAGAGAGGGAGAGGGATAGAGGGACACAGGGAAAGAGGGAGGGAGGGAGGGAGGGAGAAAGGGAGAAGAAAGAGAGGGAGAGAGGGAGGAAGGGAAAGTGGGAGAGACAGAGGGGGAGAGGGGAGGGAGGTAGAAAGATAGGAGAGGTAGAGAAAGTAAAGACTGGAGAAGGGGGGAGATAGAAATAGAGGGAGAGCGAAGCGAAGGGAGAGAGTGCGAGAAAGAAAGAGAAAGAGAAAGAGAAAGAGAGAGAGAGAGAGAGAGAGAGAAAGAGAGAGAGAGAGAGAGAGAGAAAGTCGAATTCCCCGCCAATAATTCCTCACGAGACCACATCTCAATTCAAACGCCCCCCCCCCTTTCCAACCAGCGACTCAAAACTCCCGCCACGAAATCAGACGTAATTATCAGGCCCTTCAACACGCCATATTTTTTCCCTTCCTTCTCTCTCTCTCTCTCTCTCTCTCTCTCTCTCTCTCTCTCTCTCTCTCTCCTTCCTTCCTTTCTCCCTCTCCTCACCCTCCCTCTCCCTCTGCCTCTCTGTCTCTCTCTCTCTCTCTCTCTCTCTCTCTCTCTCTCTCTCTCTCTCTCTCTCTCTCTCTCTCTCTCTCTCTCTCTCTCTCTCTCTCTCTCTCTCTTTCCTTCCTCCCTCCCTCTCTCTCTCTTTTCTTCCTTTTTCCTCCCTCCTCCTCCCACCGGCGCAGAAAGGGAGGGGGGGGGAGGGGGAAAGCGTGCGTCTGTCAGTTCTTATTTCGGCCCCAATTTCCATCCGGAATCGCGCCGTGGTTTGGCCCCTTATTGCGTTGGTGGTTTTCCGCGTCGCATTAGCCCGCCGGAGCGTCACTCGCGCCGCCCACGATGTCAGTCAAGGGCGCGTCAAGGGGGGGGGAGGGGAGGGGGGAGGTTTTGACGCGCGTGGGAGGCGACGTCGAGGCCTTTCGGGTACTACATACACGTATATATGAATGATAAACACACACGCATTCGCACACACGCGCACACACACACACACATACACACAGGCGACCTCGAGGCCTTTCGGGTACTACACACACGTATATATGAATCATACACGCACATGCATACGTACACGCACGCACACACACACACACACACACACACACACACACACACACACACACACACACACACACACACACACACACACACACACACAGTGTATGTAAATAAAATATACAAATATGTAAATATATGCATATATCTCTATCTATTCATCTGTCAAAAGATTCTGTACATAATCAAGATACATACATGCATATATAGGCCATCTACTCAAAGAATAGATAACAGAACCCAAATACAGAGTAGGAAGAGGTGAAGAGATTACACAATACATCAAAATACATAATCTGCAGTATTTTCACTTTTTTATGAACGTAAAATCTTTGCCAATTATTATAGTGGAGATTGTTTTGGTGTTTAATTTTATCAGTACTGAAGAAACAATTGTGTAAGAGGAAATTACATCGTTCTGGTTAGGGTCTTAACTTAGAGCGAGAGGGAGAGGGAGAGAGGGGAGAGAGAGAGAGAGAGAGAGAGAGAGAGAGAGAGAGAGAGAGAGAGAGAGAGAGAGAGAGAGAGAGAGAGAGAGTTAGAGAGAGGGGGGGAAGACAGAGAGAAAGACAGAGAGAAAGAAAAAGTGACAAGACAAAACGACAGAAAGATAATCAAACACGCCAAACAAAGAGCCTCCCACCCACCCACCCAAAAAAAAATATACAAACAAAACAATAACAACAACAACAACAATAACAATAATCAACAACACCAAACAAACAATCCCACCAGGAAGACCCACTACCCACTACCCCTCCTTCCCCCCGCCCCCCCTCCTCACCTCGCGGCCAGATCGGTGTGGACGAGATGTCGGCATTCCAAGTACTTCATGGCCGAGGCGATCTGCGCGGCCACGCCCACCAGCCCGGAGACGCTGTCGGGGAAAAAAGGCCGAGTGTCATAAAGTGTTCATGAGGGATTGTTCAGTTGGGTGTTAGGTGTGTTCATGGGATTGTTCAGTTGGGTGTTAGGTGTGTTCACGGGATTGTTCAATTGGGTGGCTGTTGTGTTCATGAGGGATTGTTCAGTTCGCTGTCGGGGAGAGACGAAGGAAAAAAGGCCGTATGTGATTAAGTGTTCATGGGATTGTTCAGTTGGGTGTTAGGTGTGTTCATGAGAATGTTCAACTGGGTGTTAGTTGTGTTCATTAGGGATTGTTCAGATCTGCTATTTGAAGGACCCCCCCCCCCAACTGGTGTGAATAATTAGACATTCTTGTTTATAAGATTAAAGGCAGGGCACAAGAAGGCATATACTGATAAATAAATAGATAAATAGACGAATATCTCAATAAATATCCATCTATCTACATGTCTATCTATCTAAATACATAGATATATAAATCAATAAACAAATATCAATTTATCTGTCTATCGATCTATTAATATCTTTGTTAATTCATCTATCTATCCTTCTATCTATCTACATCAATCTATCTATCTATCTATCTATATACACACATAAAGGGGGCAGAGGCGTATATGAATCTGTATATGTATTAGCAGTTTATAATTAGACATGCAATTAGCAACTTGAAGATATAAAATGTGCAACTTTTAGATTTAAAATTTGCAACTTCATGATACAGAATTCGTATCTAGATTTAGAATTCGCAACTTGAAGATAAGAATGTGCAACA